AGTAAGATTTTAACGGCATTTGCAACACCATGAGGTCATATAGGTTATGAAGATTAGAGATGTTGCGAGAGAGTAACTAACACAAAACACAAAAAGAAGGAGGGGAGATAAAGACGATAGGTGTATAGTAAGGAAGGAAGAAGAAGCAAGCCACACCAGAGCACCCACCAACCACCCACTTAGATTAATTCGGACTAGACCGGCTGTCACCGTACCTGTCAAGGCTCACCAGGGCTGAAAAGAATACAATATCTCAGCTGACCGCCAGAGGTGTTCAAGAAGGAGTGGAGATAAGGACGATAGTTGTGTCCTTGGGAAAGGCACTTCGCAAGAATTTCCCATTTGGCTTGGCCTTTTCGGAGATACATTTTAGACTCTGAAGTCCAGACTCTTAAATAACTTTATAGTGTTGACAGGGGCGTTCAAACCATACCAGTTCACATTTCACATTTGTGAGTGGCGGGTGCTCTGGTGTTGTTTGCTCCTTTTTTCCTACCATTATCTATCGTCCGTATCTCCAATCCTTCTTTTGGCGTTTGTAACTCTCTTGTAACACGTCTCTTCTTAGACACTTATGTAACCTTATTGTGTTAAGAGTGCCGTAAAACTCTTACGAAAACTAAAAACGTTTCACATTTAACATTTCTTTTACACATGATGTAGAGGGGATATAATAGGAGCCTTCGGACACTTTGACTAAAAAAAAACGCTCAAATTTTCCAAGACAGAACTTTTTTAATTCTGTGTTTGCGAAATAAAAAGATGCTATGTAAATAGCTTATCATTTCGCTTCTTTTTAAAAAAATTTTTTTTGCTCTTATGTTATCACTTAAGGATAATGAGTTGAATATCTTGACCTGGAATGCTCATTCAAAGACACGAAAAATGTAGTAAGAAAGTAACCTGTTGTTCTTGGGCTGCGAAATAAAAAGATGTAAATAGCCGATCATTTTGATTTTTTTTTGTCCTGACATCATTAAAGGATAATGAGTTGAATATCTTGACCTTGAACACCTCTTAAATTTACGTGCTCATTCAAAGGCACGAAAAGTATGTTTTAATGTACGTGTACGTATGCGCGCGCGCGCGCGCGTGTGTGTGCTTGTGTGAGTGTGTGCGTGTGTGCGTGTGTGTGTGTGCGTATGTGTGTGTGTGTGTGTGTGTGTGAGAGAGAGAGAGTGTGTTCATATGCGTATGGGTGCATGTATTTCTGTCTGAGAGAGGGAAATGAGTTATGGGAGGACGAAGCCGAAAGATGGAGCTCGAATTGGGAGAATATAGGGATGGGGGTTGGGCTAGTCAGATTCTGATGAGTTGGGCAGAATGATAAAAATAATATGCTGAATAAACGTATTATGTTCCTGTGTGAAGCCTCTTGGTTTTTTAACTAACCACTGCTCAGTTTCATGATTTGTACATCCGACTATTTGCTTCCCCTTACGCCTTATACGGGGGTGCCCACTACGGCTGGATCGAGCCGATCGCCCGACTCGATCGCCTGAAACTGAAAACAAACACGTTTGTTTTTTAGGTGATCGAGTCGGGCGATCGGCCCGATCGGTCGATCCCAGCCGTAGTGGGCACCCCGTATTACCCATCCAGTTTTCTAACTGTACATCATTCGCATAATATGTTTTATTACACAATTACAGTGCTTACACGAACAAAGCTTTTTACTTTGTATTCTATTTACCAAGTCCTCTTTTGCTGTCCCCAACTCATGCTTTCATGCCAAGTTTGTCAAATATGATACATCGACGTACTGTAATTGCAAATCGCCGCTAAGAATGAAACAAGCTTGATTAGAGAGCAATGGTAGCAATACGCTGCTTTTTTATTTTGGGTTTGTTTGTTTGTTTGTTTGTTTGTTTTGGTTTGTTGTTTTATTGGGGTTGGGGGAGATATTTTGGGAGTAAAATAAAAGTTTGAAGGGTGGCCGGGGGGGGGGGGGAGAGGGTTGAGAAAAAAGAGGGGGGAGTTGGGGAGGGGAGAGAAAGATTTGTGACCAGTCTGGCCATGAGAATTGCAATCTTATGAATAGATTATGTGCCTGTTTTGTTTTCACTGCTTCTTCTGTAACAAAGAAAATAATACTCACTCCAGTCTTTCAATGCATACTGTACTTTACTACGTAGGCCTACGATTGTGTTATCCCTGTACTGAGTGACTGTATGCATAGACCTCTACTTCACATGATTAAACAAAAACGCATCTCATTTTTATAACATTGTGTTGTTTTGAACTTATTAGTCCATTTCTTTTTCATTTAGATTTTTTATTGTTATCATATTTATTCAACTATGCTTTGGTTCATTTCCTTATGATCTATTTGATTCTTAGTTTATAAATTTCTAATCGTGATTCAAAAAAAGAATTCGGTCTATCAACCCTTTTGTTTATTTTTTAGTTCATTCTCTCATTCATTCTCTTGTTTTGGAATAAATAATCTTAACGTATTGAATACCATTTGATTATAGTTGTTACTGATACCATTAGTTGGAAGAGAAGATAATGTACAGGTGTACGTTTGTTTTGTTTGACGGCTTGAATTTCGTGACCAGATCTATGCAATTTTGTCCTTTTACTTTAGTTTTGTATTACTTGTTTATCCCTTGCCCATTTATTTGAGATTGTTTAGTTAGTTTTAGTAAGTGTTTTACGGCACTTGCAACACAATAAGGTCATATAAGTGCCGAAGATTAGAGGTGTTACAAGAGAGTAACAAACACAAAAAAGAAGGAGGAGAGATTAGGACGATAGATGTTTGATAGGAAAGAAGGAGCAAACCACACCAGAGCACCCGCCAACCACCCACATTTGAGATTGAAGCCATCTGATTAGTAGAAAGAAGTGCGTGTGATAGTGCCCAATAGTGTATTACGTGCATACTTAGTATGAAAAGTAACTGTTACAGATAAAGATATCAGGAATACAGATGTACGTCTTTGATCTGAGAGCAGTGATGATTTCAGAAATAATGATGGTGATGAATAATGATGTGGGGTTGCGTTTAAGCAATGCTAGCGTTAGTCCGATCTTCCTATGCTCTAATGAGTCACGAGGGGCGTGGGCACCCTCTATCCCGTTCCCAACTGGAACCATCTTGACGGTCACCGTGAAGTTCCCAAATGGTGGGCTGTCTCTTCTAAGGTGACATTGTTAGTGTTAGCCTATTCTATCGGGCCAAGACAAGTGTCGAGAGGAGCTGAGTGGGGAGACAGTATAGTGGCAGGTATGTTGGGGTTTTCGTAAGCAGGTAGTAGGTAGCAAGTTGGCAAACATATTATGAACTTTAAAAAATGCAGCATTCTACTCCCTGCTCATTTACCCTTAGTATTCTTTTCCAGTCCTGTTAAACTTGCGGAGATTCTGACACAGGATCATCGAACCCGAGTTGAGAGGGCCCAATTTAGTTTTGTTTTACTTAACTTTGTCTTTCGTGGTGAAGGGCTAAGGAAGAAGAAGAGTATACCCCTTTTATATTTGTCTACTTAAGCACGTAGCTATGTGTCAATCCATCAATTAATCAATAAATCAACCAATCAATTAACCAATCAATCAATCAAAAAACCAATAAACCAATTGATCGGTCGATCGATTGATAAATCAATTAATCAATCAATCAATTAACCCATCAGTAAACCAGTAAATCAATCAGTCAATGAGTCTATCAGTCACTTAATCAGTCTGTCAGTCAGTCAGTCAGTCAGTCAGTCAGTCAGTCAGTCAGTCAGTCAGTCTGTCTGTCTGTCTGTCTGTCTGTTTATCCGTCATGAATCAAACAGGAAACGTCTGAGTAGCCACAACTGCCATTTCCTATCCTTATGGGTATACCCCCCCCCCCCCCCATACTCTTTCCTTTTCCCGTTTTCGAAAGTCTATAATAAAATATAAATATAGAAAACATAGTTTTAGCCTCAATGGATCTCTTAACGTTCCCATTTTATGTAATCGGTAACTGTATTTTTATCAGCGCTTCTCAAGAGAGATAATAATTATCTATCAAGTAATTATATCAACCCAAAGGAAGGCAAACTGGCGTCGTGCTTGCACGTAGCTTGATGTCGATCTTTCAGCTGAGATGTTGACTCGCAGGCTCAGGGTTGGAAGCCCGACTCCTCAATGATATAAATTGGGTTGATAGGGGTGTGAAAAACACCTACAGGTAATAACACGACTGAAATCACGATCAGACGAGATAAACATACCAATGGGGTTACTATCAGAAAGGATCTAAAACTCCCATAAATGTTGCGCTGATGTATACGATTAGAAAAATTACTTTTTTAAAAAGTTTAAGTAAGCGTTTTACAGCACTTTCAACATAGTAAGGTCTTGTAAGAGTCGAAAATTGGAGGTGTTACAAGAGAGTTACAAACACAAAACAGAAGGGGGAGAAGTAAGGACGGAAAAAGGATCAAACCACACCAGAACACCCGTCAACCACCCACAAAGAAACACTATTGTAGTACAAATTCCACAAAATGTGAATGATAATCGCATGGGTTTCACACCCATCTCAAAGTGGGCTATTCAAGAGGTGGTGACTCCGAATTTATTGTCCATTTCCAATAGGCCCAAGCCGATCGAATGAAAATTCTTGGAAAATTCATAAACAACCCATGATCAAGAACGCCCCTTGTTCAGTTTTAGTAAGAGTTTTACGGCATTTTCGACACAGTTAAGTCATATAAATACATAAGATTAATGGTTTTACTATAGTTCAGTTTTAAAAGATAGGCAATAACGTATTTGATTGTATTTCCCTATGTTAGCTTGTGCCTATGTAAAAACAACGAAGTATTCCAGTACTCAATAAAAATACAGCATGCATTCATGCAGAAATTGATCCCATTTGGCATACGGTAGTAAGAGTCGTTAAACCTATCCGTACGCCCTGGGGTCATTTTGTTGTATTCTTTACATTTTAGAATACTTCTAGTACGAAGATCTCTTTGAAACTCAGTATTTCTTTAAACATACACACAAACACACACACACACACACACACACACACACACACACACACACTCACACACACACACACGCACACACACACAACATTTTGACAGACTGCTATACAAAGCGTACGGATCAGATTAACGAGTAAATTTCCTCTTTGGAAAGTGGTGTCACAGAGTTCCCCACGTCGCATGGATACGATAGTAAATCACGACGTACGGATGACAGCCACAAAAACAATTCCAATTGTTGTTAATTAGATTTAATTGATGTTGTCCTTAGTGTTTCTGTGGTAATCTACCACTTCAAAGATTGACATTATTACAAGAGGATTCAATTGTTAGTTTATGATAGTGAAAGACGTCCTCAAAAATACCAAAGGCGACATAATATGTATAACTAAGC